GGAGATGTTCTCATCATCTCCTGGCTCCAATCTGAGAGAACCGGACGCGGCAGCTGAGGTCTTCTGTTCTGGACCATTGACTTTCCACTCAATTTCAATACTGCGATATATGTGCGAGGCCATGAAACATCCTCCCATTAGTACTACCTGTGAGGCTCTCAGCAGTGTCCCCGTCACATACCAAGTGGCTGTGTTTAGCGGGTACTCGGCGGGTCTGGGTGTTCTGACTTTGAGTTAGCTGGAGTCAGTGTGACTGTATGCTATGGGGACCTTGAGGACTTTTGACTGCATTACTTAAACATCTGGGTAATCCTTACAAGAAGAGACCTGCCTTTGGGCTTTCCATTTGTGGGTTGAGTCAATGTGTGTTGTTCTACTCTGACAGGCAGCCTGGTCATGAATCGTCGGACAATTTTTCGACATTACGCGTGGACCTGGATGATCCTGCGATGTCATTGCAGCATTCGTTTGGTATACTAGTTTGCTCTGCTTCGGTTCACACCTTCCGGTATATGATTCGCTTGTTGCACCAGGATGATGACGCCCTTACAGGGAGTAAGATCCTCCAAGAAGGGCCCCCAGCATTTCAATAAATGCTTTGTTGTACCTTTGTGAGTCCATGCGCAACCATTGAAAAGGATCTTTGACATCTCTCTCCTTCTCCTGGACTACTGCTTCCTCTTCTTGAGTTCAGATCTCATAGGATTGCGTGCCGCTCGGATACTGCGCATGGTTCGCCTCGTACGCATCAGCAAGCTCTCGAAGCTGAACACGATGATCGAGGAAAGTGCAGCGTCGGTTGGACGCGAGTGGATCACCATGGTGTTTGCCATTGGCAAAACAGGGATTATGATGCTCATGGTTGCACATTTCTTGACATGTGCCTGGTTTTTTGTGGGCATCCAATTCGGCCCAGAGTTCCCGGAACAGAGCTGGGTCGAGCTTGCCCACATAGCCAAGCGACCGGATGCTTGGCTTCACACGAAAGGTCTGAAAGGGCAAGGCTGAGGGAAAATTTTCCGTCAGGTCACTAATTACCCTGGTTGGGACGAAACTCAGCTAACTACTCGGGCGCCTATATGCCCACTGTCCTGTGGCAGTAAGCGCGACTACTGAGATGCCGCGTGACTTGCTCACACAAGTTTTTGGTGTCTATGTAGACATCTGTAACTTGAACATGTTCGAATTGTTGTGTGGTTCGGGAGGGGTATTGCACCATCCTCCCAAATCATTGTGCAGTGGAAGCTCACAAGAGCTTCACAAGGCCAAGTTTACTGCTGTGTTCATCCAAGGGCACAGACGATCCGATCCCACCAGGAGAGGAGGTAGCCCAAGTACAGCACTTGGTCCCCAACGCTGTCCAGTACATGCAGGCCCTGCGGAAGTCTTTTTCTCGGTTTGCCCCTCTTGGATTTGAAGCGGCTTCCGTCGCTTCAATCACATTTTTTCCGGGGCATCTGAACAGGAAAGACCTTCATTCTCCGAAGCATTTGATCTCATCTCTCCTTGCAGAAAGAAGTGGAAGGGACTGAGCGATCAAATGAGCAACATGATCCGAAACCTTAAATCCGAAGCAGGCTCTCCGATGGGTCATGGGGCCACCATCTCCGCCTGTGCTTTAGATGATACGGAGCAAACTTTGCTTTCGGATGATGTAGGGTTGGTAGGGTTAGTTAGACGCTAGCTGTAGAGGCTAGGGGGTGCGGTTTCGGTTGTAGGACTGCCAGTAACCGATGTGCAGATTGCTACCGAGGTGTTGTCTCCGGCAAGTGGAGCTGAGTGGGGCTTTGACATTTTTATCACAGTGATAACGCTTCTTGCCACTTGGCCATACAGCAAGCCTGTTGGGTTGGGAGGGGCAGGCTTGTAGCGCTGAACTGGACTTCTTGAGTAACTTCATCCAAAAGCAGTTGCTTAGAGAATTAGCGTAGTCAACACCTATGCAAAAGGAAGAGTACTGCGATGCACAGACAGCAGAATCCGAATTTGAAACGCTTGTCAACATCAGGCTTCTGCTGCATGTCTTGTACGGACCTTCAAAAAGGACACAGAATGTTGAGAGCTCCCTAAACCCAACATGTCATTGGTCCATGCACACGCATAGATATCAAGGCATACATCTAGCCTACATCTTTTTGTCATGATCCGTGTAATGCAGCGAGCTAGAATGTTGAGAAACTAGGTCATCGGTTCCGCCATCTCAAAGATCTCCGGGACGACGGCAGAACTTAGGGCCATGAGGGAGGCCGACGCGATCTCTTCTTCCAGGGATTCCAGGGGTTCAAAACAAAGCAGGGATGACCAAGCGTCTAAGTCCAGGGTTTTGGCAGATTTCTGTGCTAAAGCAGGAGTTGCTTTCGAGAAGTGTATAGGGGGCGTGGGCACCAAAATGAGGTAGGGTCTTCCCCATGGCTGTGGGTGGCATATGGGGTTGCTGAGTTTACGTTGTAAGGAGACACCGGCGCGACGGTCTCCCAAACTGTAGGCCTCTTTCGGAGTGTCGTGGCTTTTGCAGAGTAATCAAAGTGAGCTTTGTCTGTGTTGTTCTGCAGCCATGCAACGTGCGCCATGTAAAGCGACGAAGCTTATCCCCAGGCTCCACCGGGCGGCCACATGGACAGCGTTTTTTTTTTTTTTTGATTCCATAGGCGGTCTGTTCCTTCTCTTTCCTGGATCTTGCATGAGCGCAAGGACCATGCTACTTGTGTTGCACCGGCCTATTTGAAGATACGCAACTTTTGTGGCCAGGAAAGCAACCGACGGCGGCGCAATGTGCGCCTTTACTTGGCCCGCACATCGGTCTCGCAGCATAGCAGCACGAGACTTGGGGGGGTTGTTGTCGGCCCGTCGCGCAAAGTCTAATATAGCTCCTCAATTGTGGGACGTTCATTTAAGAAAAGACCGTGTAAGAGACACGACAGAATATTCTCTGCCACTGGCAGCACGGTGCCTACTGTTAATGCTCTGGCCCTTCGTGAAGCCGTGCGGCCCCTAGTCCGAAATTTCTTTGCAGAGAAAAACAGATCTAGTACTTCAACGTGATGGGGAGGGCTGTGATTATAGGGCCGCTGCTGTCGTTTTGTTAGCCACAATCGGCTATTTTTTTCAGGTCAGGTAGCCTGCTCAATCTTTTCTAAAAGACAAGTTGAGCAGGCTACTATTCCAGGAGCAGGCCACCACGCCAGTGTTATGCAACATTCAGTACATTTCATTACTGGAATTTCCACACACGATATGTAGGTGCCAAACCAGTTACCACACTGTCCTTTGACACTTGTTGTGAAACAGCTGTCACGGAGCTGAGGTATGAGCTTGTGACTCGCATCATGCGCTTCGTTGACTACAAGTTGGAGAACTCTGCTTGCATACATCCTCTGCACGGATCCGTGCTGTCCTTGTTTTAATCTAAGTTTTAAGGCAACCGGCGGTTTTGACAACCCTTCATGTGTTGTTTTGCGTTGAACTTGAATTAGGTTGTTTTGCGTTGAACCTGCATTGGGGAGCTGTTTGCGCTACAAGTTCACTGTCGAACTCGACAGCATTTGGAGCTTCTTCACGCAAGCTCAGGAAGTTTCCTTCAAACACGCTTGACTCTTGGCTTCGTTGAAGAAAATGGAAACTGGAGAGGAGCTTCTTCCCAAAGCCACGGTGCTGAACATGTTATGGCCGGAACTGCAGTCTCTGTGGCATGTGAGTGCCTAAAGAGCGAATCACTCAGAAGGGAACGACAGAAAAAAAATAAACATGTCAACAAGTGGTACAGCCTTGCGACAGTTCTTCCAGTGGATTGGGTAACCGAGGATTCGTCTCTCGTCTCGCCAGCTTTGCAACTCGAGCTTTTCGTCAGCCAGCACGCCGAATCCTGCTTCAAGTAGATCTCATTGGTGACCATTTGTCTTCTGGGGAGCTGCTTGCTGCTGCGATTTCCTCATTCTGCGCATAACTTAGGCAGCATTGCATAATTCCGATGCATCATTGCTGCCTGCAAGCTAAGGACTACCTGAGCAGAATGCCCATCTTCGCTTTGGCGCAGGATCCAGACCTTTGCTTTGTCGTTTGCTCTGCACTGCACCCTGAGAAGTAGGGTGCCACTTATATCTAGCTTCGCTGTGTGCATCAGGCCGGCACTGGCCGGGGTTGGTGGAAGCCCCAGAGAAATTCTTGTCCGAAACCTGCAGTCTGATCAGATTCACATACGAATTAACAAC